AGTGCAGGGGTGCAGCGAGGAGCAGATGGACGGCAGGGCTCCCTGTGCGCTGTGACCGTTGTCCTCTGCTGACCTGGCCAGTGCACATGCACAAGCTGACTGGCCCCACCTGTCCCTCCTACTGGGTACAAGAGTAACCAAAGGATGGGGGTGGGGGCTGTGGTCCCTCTCGTGATGGGGTAGCTTTCGAGAATTGGCCACCGCTGGCCAGTGGAGACTTTGCTACCTTGACAACTCTGCCTGGCCCTGGCTGCCTCCAAGGAAAATGGAGCCCATTCCAAAGGGTAGAGAGACTGTCTTCATCTCTATCCTACACACACCCAAAATCCGTCCCCAAGTACTTTCCATCATGGAGAATCTTGCTTCTTAACTCCACTACTTGTGGCCGAAGGGAACCAATCCAGTCTCTTCCTCAAGACAGTAACAGTGCAGTTGGCACATGGAGTCCATTTACTATCTGGTGGACAGTCTACCCGATGGAAGCAAGGGGACTCAGTCCCCACTCAGCGATAGCTCTAGGGCAGGCAGGCTTTGAATCGTCAGACCCGGCCCCCGCCTCCAGGCGGTAGCAAGCATCCTGTCCAGACTGACCCTGTGTCCAGGCCATGACCCAAGTAACAAAGATAGACTGAAAGAATCAGACGGTCTCTCCCATGGAAAATGGCAACAGACAAATACTGAGGGAATGAAAACCTGACAGAGAGCCTTGGCTGGTGTGGCTCAGTGGAATGAGCGCCGGCTCGGTGATTGCCGAACCAAAGGGTCTCCAGTTCGATTCCCAGTCAGGGCACATGCCTGGGTTTTAGGCCAGGTCCCCAGTTGGGGTGTGTGAGAGGCAATCACACATTGATGTTTCCCTCCCTCTCTCCCTCTTTTTCCCTGTCTAAAAATAAATGAATAAAATCTTAAAAAAAAAAAAAAGAAAACTGACATAGAGAAGGCCCTATGGGTCAGGAAAGCTGAAGTGATAGCAAAATCTGGGAGTAGGGAATAGGGATACAAGGGTGGAGACTGGGGAAGGTTGGTAGAGGAAAAAAAAAGACTGAATTAGGCTCCCAGAAAGCCCTGTTTCAAATATTCCCGCCTGGTCCCCCGCAGCCACCTGGCCCTGTCAGCGGCCCTTCTACACCTAGCAGCTGCAGGTCTTTCCAAAACATAAGCCCAAACATGTCACTCTCCTACTGAAAACCCTCCAGGGAATTCCTCACACTTAAAATAAAATCCAAATTCCTTCCAGGGATCTCCCAGGCACAGTGCGATCCAGTCCCTTGACCCATGACCCCCACCCTCACACCAGCCCTCTCCACCTCTGTGCACGGGCCACCCCCGCCTCCTTTCACCCTGACCTTACTTCCTATTGTCCTTGCTGTTCCATCAACTGGGAGACTCTCCCTCCAGACCTTCCTGGAGTGGCTCCATCTCATCTTCAGGGCTCAGCTCAGACGTGGCCCGTGGGGAAGCTCTGCAGCCCACCCTCTCTAAAGTGACTCTCCCCACAGGCACTGTCCATCTCATTCTATTCTCTCCTGTCCTTCACGGCCTTTGTTTATTTGCTTGCTTTTGGTCCTTGGCCTCTCTGCCCATGCCCAGTAATGGGAGCTCCCAGAGAGCGGGCCTGGCTTGCTTCACTCACTGCTCTGACCACTGCACCTACAGGTGTCCAGAATTTAATAGATGCCCTATAAATGGTCACAGAATGAACGAAGGACTAAATGGGTGAACAGTAAAGAGGCTGATGTCTCCAAGCAGCCCGCCTTCAGCATCTGCTCTTGCACTGATTACAACAGTTGTATATTTACTGACAGCTTCCTCTGTGCCGGGTGCTGCTTGAAACCCTCATCAAACATTGGCTCATTCAATCCTCATTACCTACCCTATGAGACAGGTACCATTATTACTTGAAAAAATGGGCACCGAGAGGCTTAACAACTCATCTAGGACCATACAATGAGTAAGTGGTGCAGCCGAGGCTGTAAACCTGGGCGTCTTGCCCGAGTCTGTGCTCTTAACCACTTCTCTGGACTTGTCTGTCACCTGCTGCCAAAGGGTCCTACCTGATGCACAAGCAGTCAGCCCCCGCTGATGGACCACCTATGGACTACACTGTGAACACATTCTTCCCAGAAGCCCTGGAAGGTTTTTTGATGATGAGCCCAAAGCTCAGACAGGTCACATTGCCAGCTCCAAGGCACACAGCTAGTAAAGAGTTTGCCTGATGCCAACGCCTTTTCCCTTCTACTCCCAATGGCCACATCACAGGTTGAAATGTCCCAAAGAGCAGATGGGAAATGGAAAGGTGTATGAGAAATAGTAGCAGAGCAGATAACAAACTGTAAGTACCACTGGGCCTCAGCTCTGGGTTCATAAGGGAGGGGTGGAAACTGCAGCAAACAGGCGGGTTTGTGCCCTAACTGGGGAGGCTGCTTCTGGGTTCCCCCTAGTGGCTGCCTGCTGGGAGGGCAGCCCAGCCTAGGGGCCAGATCTTTCCATTTTTCTAGAGAAGCAGAAACAGAGCTTCTTAAAAATTATATAAAATCTTTTGAATTTAAATGTTAGCAAGTGACAAAATCTTTTTAAACCGTGAGTTCAAAGAACATTATCTGGGGGCAAGTTTGGCCCACAGGCTTGAAGTTGTTAACTTTGGAGTCCACCAGGCTGGTCCTCCGTGTGTTTGAAAACAGCTGTCATACCTTCCTCCCACGTTAGCAGTTCCCATGGCCTTGCAGTAGGATCTTCCAGGGCAGGCACAGAGCCTTATTTGATTTTTTGCTTTTAACCCCAGAGCCTTGCCCGGTGCCTGGCCCATGGTAATAAATGTTTGCTCAATTAATGGATGATTTCTTTCATGACACGGCTTCTAGTCCACTCATCATCACTGAACGCTCCCCAGTTTGTCTAGATCTCTTGGTCCCAGAGGACTGTGTGAGGGTGGAGCGGAGTTGGTCTGGTCAGTAACGGTGGGCAGTAGGATGACCCCCAGGAGCCATTCCACTTTCCCCTAAGATGCCTTCCTGTTCAGGAGGGGCCAGGAAGCCAGACACTGCATTTCCCCAGACTCCCTTTCAGCTGGGGTCCTGGATGTGACTTAGGGGAGCCCATCAGCTGGCCTCACGCAAGGCAGGGAAAGCAGAAGTGAGCTGGAAGCAACAGCAGACGCAATGGGTTTTTCAACAATGTCCCACCTTGGCTAGACAGGGTCTTTCTTCACAGTGTTCCTCTAGCAAGCAGTGTCACTCTGAGGCCCAGGGTGCAGAGGTAGCTTCCTCATTCCTGATGCTGATCCCCCCATGTTCCCTGTGTCCCAGACAGCAGCTTTTCTGGCTGCTCCTGCCCTGCCTGGAGGCCTGGCTCACAGCCCATCCTCCGCCAGCCCAAGGATTTGGTAAGCACCAGATTCCCTGCGTTACAACTCATTTTGGATTAAAATGGCCTGAGTGGTCTCAGTTGTTAGGTGCTGGCTGACCCCTGACTGATATGGTACTGAAGGATAATTACAGCATTCACAGCATCAGGAAGCCAGGAAATTTGCCATGATTAGGCCCTGCGAAGGGTGGGACCACAGGGAGAGACTGGGGAGGGATGCTAATCAATCTTAGGCCAAGTCTTTTAAATTACACAGATTCTGGGGCAGCCATTAAGTCACAGTCTAAGATGCAAATATGGCTCCAGATAATAGAAGGTACTCAGAACAACTAGAAGGATGGTCTGAAGGGAGAAGTGGAGAATGGCCTCATTAATGAGAAATTAGCATTCGTTGCTGAGGAGACAGGCCTCCAGGCTCTGTGCCCTGCAGGCCCTGCTCGCTGGCACTAGCAGGAACACCCTTCCCCTTTCAATCGGAGACCCACAGATGTCTCTGCAGAGAAGCGGAGGACAACTGGATTTGGAGCCACAGTTCCAGGGTTGAAACCTCAGCCTACCCTTCTCCCTTGGTAGCAGTGTTACCCTGAGCGAGTCACCTTACCTCTCTGGGCCTCAATTTCTTTAATGGCACAATGAAGATATTTATAGACCTACAGTGTTATTACAAAGATGGTCCAATAAAGTATATGTATTTGCTTGTAGACCCACACATATTGTACAATGCAAAATGTTATAAGCAGTACTTTCCAATCTTGGTGAGCACAGAAGTAAAAAGTGCTCACCAAGCAATTAATAATTAAGCAATGGTGGATACCATTGCTTAAGCCTCACCTCAGACCAAGGGAGTCAGAATCTCTGGGGGCAGGGCCTGAGCATCAGTATTTTAAAAACCTGCCAGGCGATTTGATCATGCAGTGGGAGTTGTAACATACTGCTCCCTGATAAGGTGCAAATAATTACAAGGTAAGGTTTACGGACTATATGGGCAAGAATACTGAGCACGCGGCCAAAGATCTGGGTTTGAGTCTTGATTCTGCCACTTCTTGGCAGTTGACCTTGGAAAGCTCATGTAACTTTTTCGAGCATTTGTCTCCTCAGCTCCTTTAAAAGAGGAAGGACATTGGAAGTTACCCTCCAGGCCTGCTCTTGGGGCAAAGGGAAGGAGTTACACGGGAGTTGAGCCCATGCCTGGTACCCAATAGGGGCTCAAAAATGCAAGAGGCTGGCGGCAGCAGCCTCGGCAGCAACCAAAGTTGCATCTCAGGTCTGTGGGGCAGGTGCTGTCTTATTCACCCACCACTTCCCTGGCATCTAAGACCGTGCCTGACACGTGGTAGGTACTCAGTAAAAAACAACGATATGAGTGAGTCATCATAACAGGGCTGTGAGCCTGACCTGTGACACTCCAGAAGAGAAGAACATGCCGAGAGGGGCTGAAGGCTCCCACAGGCTCCTCCGTTCTCCAGAGGCCAGAGCCACATGCAGAGCGGGCACCGCTGCGGTGCCCAGCCAGACCCACCACTGCCCACAGAGATTCCTGACGCCCCAATTATATTTTTGTTCCCGCAATAACCCCACTCCTTATTCTAAACTGTGAGATGGGGCCTTGGTCTTGACTCTGCCCAGCGTTTCCGGACCTGGTGCCATCCGCGGCGCTGGACTTTGCTGGGGGCTGTGCGCGAATGGCGTCTTAAAGCTTCTTCAGCTTCTTGAAACAGGGTTCTTCGTCCACAATCTGCACCAGAGATGAGGGAGGAGACTTGGTGAGGCACTGATGAAAAGCTCTCACTGATGGCAGTTTTATAACTTATATTTAAATACACATCAGTTTGCCCACAATCCTGTATGTGAAGTTATTCACTGCAGCACCGTTTGTAGCAACAAAGCATTAGAAAACAATCTAAAAGCCCAGCAAAAATGGAATGATAGTAATACCTATAATAATGTACAGCCAAATGGAGCAGGTCTATTTACAAATGGAACAATCTCCAAGGTACAGGACAATGTGCACAACAGTCCTGCATTTGTGTAAAAGAGGGGAAAGCTGTGTATGAAATGAGTGAAGGGGCTTCTGGTGGCCCAAGCACGGAGACTCCTGTTATGTACCCGTCCCTGAAATCTAGGCTCGGAAAGGCCTGCTTCTCCTAACTAGCAGATCAAGGGATCCTCCACCAGGAAACCTAGGAGGGCCATCCCCTTTTCCTCTTTGCCCTGGGGGCTAGGGAGCTCATGCTAAACTCTCAAATAAACCACAGTAACTCTACCAGGGAAGGTTCTGGACCATTACTTTCTCCTTTTATCATCTTGGAGTTGTTTGGACTTTCAGTGCCTATTAACGGCTTGGGATTTTACCACACCTGTGGTAAGAACACAAATCAAGATTACTGTGCGCCGGAAACTTTACATTTCTTGTGCCATTCAATCTTCCTGGCAAGCCTGCAAGGTGGGCGTAATTATTCCCATTTTACAGAAGAGGAAACTGAAGGTCAAAGACGACCCATTTGCCAGAGGCCTCAGGGCTAGCAAGTGGCAGAACAGGGTTCAAACTCAGCTTTGCCTCATTCCAACTTCTCTTCTTGTAACTCATGGCACACTGACCTTTTAGGCAAAGCAGCTTGCTTTGAAGGGCACTCTGCCACCCTGAGGACAGGCACCCTCCTTAGTCCCATTTTAAAGATGAAGAAACAAAGGCACAGAGAAACCAAATGGCTTTCCCAAAGTAACACAGCCAGTTGGGACCTGCCTCCATGTGTTCTGCCACCTCATTCATTCAACCACCAAATCATTTTCAGGAACTATGCTGGGCCTGCCACAGGTTGGGTGTTTTCTATTCTTCTTCACAGACTTTCCATGCTTTTATTATAGGACACACAAAAATTGTTTAAAGTATGCAGAGTATGGAATAACTAAATTAAAAAATGAACAATGGCATCAAAACAGTGATTAGATACTGAAAACAAGACATATCAAGCAAAAATCGGGTGTAGTCAAAATTATCCTAGACGTTTCCTCAAATTAAGGCACTTGAGACCTAGGAAATGTAAAAGCCAGGAATTTGCTGATCTGACCACCTTTGCGTTGGGGTAGTAGAGGCCAAGACTGGTTTTAAAAGAAATAAAAAAGGATTTCTCTCTCTCACTCTTTCTTTCTGGCCAAATGGGCGTAGTTAATTTGTACAGGTAAACTAGTTATTTGCTGGTAAGTTTATGTGCATAGGATGTGGCTCCATGGTTCCTAATTAGTTAACAGAATTGTCGCTTAGCCAGGAAGGACCTGCGCTCACCGTGTGTCCCCTCAGCATGTGAGGCACTCCTGGAGAAGTCGGAGTGGACGGCTTTCCGCGGTGATGTCTTCACTTCAGAATTGGCCCCATTGACGTAGACAGAGAAGCCCTGCTCCAAGTGCTCTAATCTCAATTGCATGGGGTCCTTGGTTTTCAAATGCTTTAATATTCTGGAAGAGAAGTGGTTGCTTGATCTTCATTATATGAGCCTGGGCCACCACCCACCCCCACACGGGGACAGAACTGCTGCTCTGGTCATCAGTGTCTACGTGGCGGGTCCCCAGCTGTTCGTCTGCAACCTTGAGAAGCCCATTACACACAAGGAAGCCGCAAGGGGAAGGCTGTTTCTGATTTTATTCTGAGGCTCAATGGCACGTTAGCAAAAAACGAAGGCACACACCCTTGTCCCATAGTGGCCGAGAGAGAAAGCAGGCATGTGTGCACTGCTGCCACACAGCCTGGCTCTCCAGGGACAGTCCCAATGTCGGGCATTTCTACTTGGTGTGGACGACGGTGCTTGGTTCGGCGCAGCAGCAAACGTGATTTAGGGGCTAAGCCTCTGTGAGGGAGATTTCACATAACACACCAACAAATCTGAAACCCTTCAGTAGACCGGGCAGACCAGGCAGACTGATTTTTTGCTTCAGTAAATAAAGGTGCTCTCACTCACCCTGTTAGCTCAACTGTCATCGTTTTATATTCAGATGCAGTTAAAAATATATAATGCAGGGTTTTGTTCGAGATTAATGATGTGATTATCATGCCCTTAGGCTAAAAGGGCCTTGGCCTGAGCACGGCCAGCTGTCCAGGGCAGCCTTCTCTGAACCCGGCCTCGCCCTCGGCTGGGTCCCTGCCCCACGGGCGCACTGTCCCGAGCGGTGTGCAGTGTCCTCTTCGGCCTCCCAGAGCTGCTCCCATCTGACACCAAACCCTTCAGTAGCATTACAAACACCTGTGTGCACCCCGTACCTAGATTTATTTCCGCACAGGATGAAATACAAACAACTAATATGGCACCAGGTGTGCATCCTCCCTCCTCAGTGATTTAGTTCCTACCAAATTGGCAAAATGTAAATTTTAGAAAATAATACTAATCACATATAGGGTGTGTACCATATGCCAAACTCTGTTCCAAATGCTTTATACCAACACTCAAGTCGCATTATTCTTGGTAGTTACACTTTATAAAGTTGCTGCAAACACAGAATTAGTGAACAGTGAACCATAGTTCCTAGGCAAAAATACAGGATTTGGTTCCTATGAGTCTCTGTTCACAACGTTTTCACCAACTGATCAAAACATAACCTTGCTTTATGTGTGTTTCTGTAGAAAGGCACCTTATTTAACACAGAGTTGATTCACTAATATTGAACTCATGGCCAGTAGCACACTAACTCACTCCTGAATGAAGCTTACCTAAACCGTGTATTTTCCGTATAAGAAACATCACAGCTGTCTCATACTTAGCAACACTAGAGAGCACTTCAGCACTATGCATGTGGCCTGTTTAAACAGCAGGATCACCAACAAAAAGCACAAGAATATGGAAAACATGGCCCTAAGTATAGCACAAAAAGGACCCTGCTTGTAGTGTGAGAGCTGACACAAGAAGGCAGTGTCCCCTTCTTCTATACCTCAGCTGAGAACATGCTGGCCACTTAAATTTTTGCCAATCTGCAAATGTCTCTGAATGACTGTGAAAGCACTTCAGGTATTGATTTTGGAGTTATAGATACATTTTAGTGAGCAGATGAATTCACAAATATGAAATACTGTGAGTAATGAGGATTGCCATTATTCGCCACAACTATCTATGAGGTGATTGCATTTATTATCCCCATTTAATAGATAAGGGGACTGAGGTCCAGAGAGGTTAAGTAACCAACTGGTCACACAGCTAGTATGGCGGCAGAGCTACGATGCAAACTTAAGCAATTTGGCTCGAGTCTTCACCACAGCAAAGGCAACTTCTACAGCTACTGAGATGATGTTAAAAGTGGCAAATTTAGACACTGCTGGTAACTCATAGAACCTTCTCAGAAGTAAAATAAAAATACAGAAATGCCTATGCTTGGTCTTTGCCCAGTAAGCACATTCTGGCAAATTGTTCCTGATCAGTCATAACAAAACCCTGAAAGCAACCCAAATGTCCAACAGCAGGAAAGTAGAACCTGAGCTCTCATGCAGCCATTATAATTATAAAGAATCTGTCAAACCATGGGGCAATGTTTAGGATCTGTTCAGTGGGGGGAGGGGGGATGAAATGGCAGAATAAAAATGGTACATATGTGGTAAGTGCAAAATTGGAAAAAAAAAGTGTGGTTGCAGACCCAGAATGGAAGATGATAAATGTAAAAATTCAATCAGCTGTTAAGGTAGGGTGGTGGCATTATGGGTGATTTCTTTGTTTTTAAATGTTTCTTGAGCTATTGCTACATCCATCTTTTCAACAATAGTGGCAGAAACATTTATTACGGACTGTTTATCTCTTGCCAGCTTCGGAAGCCTGGGAGATGCCTGACTGTGGGGCAACAGCATAAAACCGAAGGAAAACACAAGTAACTAAGAGACAATTTCCAAATACAGCAAAGCCGCACTAGGAGCAAACAGTCACAGGGCTCCCTCCAAGGCACCAGCAGTCTCCGGAGAGAGGGGCGAGAGGGCCGCAGGGAGCCCGGGCCCTGGGAGGCCCCAGCATGGAAGGAGCAGATGGAATCTGACCACCTGGCAGAGAGCGCCCACCTCAACTTTCCTCTGGAGACCGCCGCCGTGGCTCCCGATACTGCCTTAATGGTTATGGTGGCATCCCGGTCCCCAGAATCTGGGGCTGGCACCCCACGCATGCCCCTTTTTAAGCAGGATAATTTATGAAAATGTGGATTTATGAAGCTGATAAATGAGGAGATAATTATTCAAACTGTGAAAGGAATCGCTAAAGGAACTCCTCTACCGCAGCTGAGTACATCAGTAATATTCACGGAGCATCAAAGAAAAGTGGTGTTTTAAAAAAATTGATAGCCTGCTTTGCATAAAAAGCAGCCCAAGGTGAAGGGGATTCAGAAAAATTGACTGAGTCCCCGCCCTACCGAAGATGGAGCTGCTGCTCCCCTGCTGCCTAGCTACACTCTGCTCTTTTTCAGGTTTTGTTTGTTTCACAGCACGTGCCTCTCTTCACAGCACAGTAGAGCACCTGTGAGTCCCTTCATTCTCCCTCTCCCTCATCAGAATCTCAGCCCCTGGGCGCGGAGGTCCACGCTGAGTAGGAGGAACAGGGAGGAACACTCTTGAGACCTATTTCTGGAAAAAGTGGCCCCTAGTAACTCGAGGTCTAGCAAGGAGAGAAGGCACAGGTGTACATCCTAACACAGCTACCATGTTTCTAATGCACAGAACTGTCATCGTTTCTATTTTATCCCATTTTGACCTTCAGGTCATTTGTACAGAGATCTTTTTAGTACAGACAAGGAAGTGGAGACACCAGGAATTAGAGCACAGAGTGTCATGGGGAAGCGACAGAGAACATGACACACTTGATGGCTGGGTGATCGGAGCCCAAGCGGGGACCCAGATGGTGAGAGGACTTAGCTGAGCTCAAAGAGTGGGTAGCGCATTGCTCATGAACCTACCTGTGACTGGGTTCAAGACTGAACATTCCCAGTCTCTGTGCACTGAGGATGCTGCGTGACTGTGGACTAGCCACACGGCTCCTCCGGATCTCAGGTAACCAAAGAGTCAACTGAGGGGTTCTCTAAGGGTCAGGCAATCAAGGGCTATCTGGCTGTCAGCTCAGGGAGAAGGCATGTTTAACATTAAAATGATGAAGATGATGAAGAAGAAATCAAGCTTGGGTGGTGGACTTACTGTGGACCTTCAAGTACCTGGTCTCACTTCATCCTTCCTGGTCCTGGGATTTAAGTCCTACCATTGGCCTGTTTTATAGATGAACATGTCCGAGGTCAGAGAGCCGAGGAAGCAGCCAGGATTTAAATTCCGGTCTGCAAGGCTCCAGAGCCTGTCTCCCAGCCACCCATTCTGGTGTTTCTTGCCCCTTACCAGGTATCATGCCACAGGGGCTCTGAGCAAGGGGGGTTCAAGGAAGGATCAGTGAATCCCAGTTGTGGGTGTTGGAGGGGGTAGCATTGGAGTTCAGCCTCGAAGCACAGAGAAGTAGAGAGCAACGGTGCAAACATCCTACCATTCCTTCCAGAACCTGGGTGGCCCAGGGGCTCTGGTGTTGATTCTCTAGGGTGTCACCACCCCAGTCCATGTGGGTGGAGGACGAAACTCCATACTGGGCTGCTCTGCTGTTTCCCCAGCTTGCATGGCCTGGGGCGAGTCCCTAGGTCTCCTCTTCTGTGAAATGAGACAAGAATGCCTACTCCTCTCCAGGTTGTCAAGGGGATAGGATGGGAGACTAGGTTGAAGCTCCAGCTCAGAGACCAGCCTGTGCAATGCTCCCACTGGATGCTGGTTCTCCTCTTTCTTCTCTGCCTAAATTTCCTCTTGAGGCAGTAGGTTCACCTCTCATATGGGCATGTTTTCCTGTAAGTTTCTGCCAAAGACCTTTTCCAAAAGCAAATTATACAACTGCCAGATTCCTGGAGCTGGCCCACGCTCCACAGCTGAGAGGTGTACGTTACAGGTCCCTCGGTCGTAGCTCTTCAGTCCCTCCTCGTATCTCAGCATTTTGATCACTCTGCTTGCCCTCTCGTGAATCCTGTTGGGCATGATTACACCTTTCAGGAAGCCAAGTGACCAGAACCACTAAGCATTCTCCGGGAGAGTTTGTGCAGAGCAAACTGGGATGCCTCATCTCCCAGCTTTCCCTGGGCCTCTCCTGGAGCACAGGACCGCTTTCTGCTCCTTCTGACATACTTACAGGTGGCCTGGTGCTCACTTGCCAATAACTGGGGAGTTCCTCCAGGGCAAGGGCTGTGTGGTGGACACCTGTTCTTTCTGCCTGCCTGTCACCTGCCCCCCATCTTCCAATCACAGCCCAATAGATCCCCTTCTTCCTCCGCGTAGTTCCCTACTTAAACCACTCCTTACTCGCTCTACCCCCAACTTAATGGGTGGCCAAGGAGTAGCCAGTCAGACCATTCCAGTTCACCAGACAAAGGGGGTGATTAGCTCAGGAATGAAAATGCAGCCCCAGTCTTACCACTGGGAGCCCTTATCAATGCTTTTGCTGGATCTATTAGGAAAGTACTCTCTCCCTTGAGATAGGATGTAAATGTGGGGTTTCCAGGAGCTGCCTTGGCCTCCATGAGGGAAGTACCTGCCTGAGATGACTCCAACATGGGAAAACAGAGCTAAGAGATGCAGAATGACTGATATCGGTGACATATTTTGAGTACCTGTATCCAACCATTCCTGAAGCCAGATAACATCCAGGGTTTTTATTTCATGAGCCAGTAATTTTCCTTGGTGCTTAAAGTCCATTTACCCTGGGTTTCTGTACCTTTCAGTACAGGAGCACTAGTACACTGTGAGACATCCTCATCACAGCATTCCTCATCCTAGTGGTAATGCTAGGCACTGAGAAGGTATTCGGTGAACTCCTGCTGGGTGAGTAAAAGAATAATGTCACCCAGTGTCTTGTGGGCAGCTGTGTTCTGGGCAGGTCTCTCCTGAGAACTCACCCCAATGACTGCACCCCCCCTTCCCGCGTCACAAGGCAACCCAGATAGCAGCCTGGTTCTCATCTCCCTCTAGGCACAGCGTAAAGCTCAGAGGCTGGTTTCCTACCCAGTCATGTAACTAGATTTCCAAGTAAACTGCAGTTTATTCCTGCAAATTTCCTCCATAATGAACTGGCTACCCTGGCAGGTTTCTCTCCTCTTGATCATTTTTGACAATGTCAAACCAAACATAGTTGAAAAAGTACAGCCCAGCTCCACCACTGCCTGGTTGCATGACCGCGGGCAATGGCACACTGCACTGGGCCTCTGCTTCCTTGTCTGTAAAATAGGTGCAATAACAGTATCTGGCTCACAGGCAGGTAGTGTGTGGATAAAATGAAATGGTAATGGGAGTGAGCCGCCTGGCAGGTGGCTGGCACTCCAGAAAAGGGGCACTCCCCTTCTACATAGGTCTCCACTTGGAGATGGTTTTTTTTAGCTCTACCTTCTAATTTCCTGTCATCAAGCCAACTCACTCTTGGTGACAACACATCCCCCAAGTTTTATGGCAGCTCAGTTTTGATATATTTTTAATTGCCTTTGTGCCACAACCCTGTCACTGGATATTCTCCTACACAGTATATTGGCTGGTATCTCTTTGATCATGCACTTATTGATCCTCCGATTAATACAAAGCAAATTGCTCATATGACACTCTCCTCCTACAGAAGTCACATTTATTTGATTAAACGATCACGCAAGTGTTCGGAGCACCATCCAGCCTGCCAGAAACCGAACAAAAATCAATGTGTCGCAGGGCATTAATGATAATTTTTTTTTTAAAAACCCCACATTGGGCTAATCAGCACAAACCTCCCACTATTCTAGTTGGAGGTCGCCCCTGGGCTGGAGGGAGTTGGGCGCAGAGCAGCTGGGCACAGAGGACAGAGCCTTCCAGCAAAGGAGGCATTTCTGGCTGGTCCTGGAGAATTATCTATTCAGAAGTTCTCCACTGGGATTCCAAGAACTGGGAATTCAGCTAGTCAGAGAAGAGCTTAATCCACATGCAGAATGACAACCCCTAGACTATGTGGTCTACAAGACCACAAGCTCATTCCCACGGTAGCACCCAGTCCTCCCCGCTCCTGCAGGTCTCCTTCAGGGGCCTGCAGCGTTCTTCCATTTGTTTTAAGCTTTCATTTGAATTCATTATTAACACTTTAAAAGACAGGCAGTTTCACAACACAAACCCAGATTTCCCGTTTCTCTGGCAACCTTGGAGGACAGGAACTCTGGGGCCCATGTTCCCACAAGCAACTGGCTGAGCCAAGCAACTTGAACGTGAAAATTCCAGGTGCCCATTCTCCCCATTGAGCCAGCTTCACTCACTGTCTGGCCTCTCCTAGCATTTGAGTTTGCAAAGCCCGCTTACTGCAAGGTCCCAAGGCCTGAAGACAAAGCACGGTGAACTGAAAATGAACATCGGCCACCTTGCAAATTTTCGCAGCACTGAGGACACGATGCCTCTTTCACACCAGACCACCCTGTTTTGACTGCAGTCACTAAACACTGCAGCCATCTGCTGCCAGCTTCTTCAAGAACCAACATTCCAGAATCAAAATCCATACTAATTTAACTTTAAGTGACATATGGACCAACTTCAAACACAAATGTAAAATGACTCCGCCTTTATATAACAAGGCATGATTACAGCTCAGACTTCAAAGGACCGGCACAGCCTGTAAGATCACAGACTGGGCTATGCGAGTGATTAAGGCACAGGCCCTGCCCAATTCTAGCTTTTCTTGACAAACCCACCTTCTCCCAGAAGAGAAACAGGGAGGCAAGAGGTGGGCAGTACTTACAGGTAGAACAGTTAGCTACAGCTCAATCAAAAGATGCAATTAAATCAGTGAATGGAGAAAAAGGAGCTGGCATTGCAGATGATATTCCCAGCCTCGGAGTGGAGGGGACTGCATCCCATTCCTATGTGAACCAGAGCCTGCATGCTGTTAATAAATCTAACTAGGGTTTTTATTTGGCTAATATTAAGGGCTGCCGGTGAGTGGCTTCATCTTACCGGTTCCTCTGCTGAAGCAGTATTAAATACTCATCATGTTTCTCATCAAAGTCTGTCACCATGTCCTTAGTGTAACCCTGAAATGAAGAAACAGAGCAGTGTGATATCGGAAAGCAGGGCAGCATTTGCTGAGGCCCAGACAAAGCACGCGCAGCACGGGAGGCAGAGAGGCAGAAGCCGGCCTTGACGTAGGCTTGGCTCCCTAGGCGCGTCACTCTGGAGCCCCAGAGCCCCAGAGACCGTCTGGTGCCCCAGTGGGTCTTGAACACACACAACAGTGATCTGTGAAAAGAAGGTCAGGTCCCCAGTGCCACTGTTCATTCCTCCTATGCTCAAGAAAATCAAGGGTTTGAACAAGATTTGGGCTTCTCCCACTCATTATTAACTTTTCTCAACTGATATAACCAGATGCAACCCAAATCGGAGGGGATCTCATTTTTCTCATGCCACTGCAAGAGAAATGTGTGCTTACTATAAACAACTCAGTCATTACAAAAATATGACTCAGAGAGTGAAGGCCCCTTTAGAGCTGACATTTGGGGTTTTGCACCTGCCCTTCTGGCAACAGAACTCTGGATTTCCTTCGGGGAAATATTCAGCCCTTTCTTTCAGTTCACTGGTTTCCTCAGATGCCCTTGAAAGTGCCTTTGTTCTCCTCTTGGGTCACATGACCTTGGACTTGGTCTAGCCTATCAACATAGTGCTTCCCCCAGCCACAATAATTCACTGATCTAGGCTTGAGCCATGACCCTAGCTGGGCCCTTAAAAGTCGGCCCTGGGCTTTGCTGATACTCTTGGGGAAAAGCTGCTCTCTTTCCACTGCAGTGCTAAGCAGTGGAAAAGACAACAGATCTGAGAGACAGAGAGAGATTTCTAATGACATCTAAGCCCCTGGATCCACTCATGCCTGAAGTAGTATCTAGGCATGACTAATTTAGTTATGACTCTACCAGTTTCAGCTGACTTTTCTGTCATTTGCAGCCCAATTATGTCAAAAATCATAATCTGACCATATAACTTCTTACAGGTATAATTCATGAAACTACACATATTTTAAGTAACATATGGCCCTGGCTGGTGTGGCTCAATGGACTCAGTGTCAGCCTGTGAACCAAAAGGTTGCTGGTTTGATTCCCAGTCAGGGCACATGTCTAAGTTGCTGGCCAAGTCCCTGGCTGGGGCATGCGAGAGGCAACTGATCAATGTATCTCTCACACATCGATGTTTCTCTCCCTCCCTCTCTTCCTGTCTCTCTAAAAATAAATAAATATTTTTAAAAATAAAATGAAATATGTATATACTAGTAAAATCCCTATGATAATTTGACATATATCCCTCTAGATGTTTTTCTTTGTTTATAATATACATGTATACATATTTATAAATACACAAACATATTTTTTAAGCAAAAATGGGATTACACTGTAAGTGCTTTGCAACTTTCTGTTCCTTAAATAACTTTTTGCCAAGATATGAATTATAGAGACAATATCAATTTGGTTCTAGTCACAAATTATAGGGATTGAGTTTAAATGGCAAGTAAGACATTCGTAATAAAAATGCAACTTGTGTGAAAATCCAAATGATTAGCATGGGGAGAAGAAGGGGAAAAAAGAATCTCCATTGTTCTCCTTTAAACTGTCAAAATCTGGCTTTCAACCCATTATTCTACCAGAACCCTACCCAAGGATGACCCAAACCTCCTTACCCAGATACAATAAATAGCGCTTTCCTTCCTCTTCCTATTCAACTGCTCTGAGCCACTGGGAACTGCCGACCACCCATTCCTGCCCAAGTTCTCCTCCTCTAGCTTCTGCAGTTCTGAATGAGCCTCTTTTCCTCCCAAGCTCTCTGCCTGGGCCTCTCTGGCTACCCTCCCTCCTTTGGCCTCGGATGTGGATGGTCATTGTCTCTGTCCATCTTACCTTTCTGGATCTCTCTCCCTCTGCCTTTACTTCTCTTTCTGATTTCAAGGAAATGGGCCCCCCGGCTGGGGAACACAGAGTCATTCCTAATCCAAGGCTGAGGCCTGAGGAGAGCTGGATGCAGGACACTGGATCTGGGGAGGAGGCTCAGTTCCTTCCAGAGTAACAAGATGTGTATCGTGTGGATAGTTTAGGCAGCATTCCCATATACATGAGTCTCCTTTGATCTTCACAGCAGCCCTTGAAGTGGTTATTCCTACCCCATTTAAGATACAAGGAAAGCCATCTAATACATCTTAAAGAAACTTGGATCCCCCTCCAAGGCAATTTACATAACCATTTTGAAATACTGAAATGACCACTGATACATTACAGTATGAAATGAAACACTCTACGACATTTTTAGAGAAATATGAGACTTCAAAGAGATCTCAGCTGTGGTAAGCTGCCCTGGGCTTTCACCTCACACTCTCCAAGAATGCATTTTTATACCTTTGCCAGGAGGAAGATGTCATCAGATAGACTTGAAGAGCACAAGGATATATCCAGCCAAACTTTTTACCAGCCTGTGCTTCTCAATGCTAATGTGAACACAAATCACCTGGAAATCATGCTGAAATGCAGGCTTTGATTCAGTAGGACTGGGGGCCTGGGGCGTGGCATTTCTAACAAGCTCCCTGTGAGCCACACTTTGATCAACAAGGCCCTAATCAGCCCTTCTTATTCCCCACTATTCATAATACACCCTCTTCTTTCTTTTTTTTTAAGACTATAGGTTAGAGAAATATCAATGTGTGGTTGTATCTCATGTGCCCCCTACTGGGGACCTGGCCTGCAACTCAGGCATGGGCCTTGGGAATCGAACCAGGGACTCTGGTTCGCGGGCCAGTGCTCAATCCACTGAGCCACATCAGCCAGGGCCATAATACACTCACTTCTAATAGGATGTCTTTGACCTTACGCAGGTTGACCTTATGTGTTTTGGAGTCCAGCCTGACTCCAATTTGCAACACTGCCATTAGCTTCCTACTCTGTGAAATGGAGGTAATGATAGTACCTGTCTGCATGGTTTTTTCTACCCTTCCTGGGGTGAATATGGACTGCACAGTAACAGTGGAAAGGACTTAGCACAGCACCTGACACTTAGAAAGATCTCAGTGGACACCAGTTACATTCACATTTACAGAGTTCCATTATCTAAATATCATCGCCATCCTAGCCCCTCCCTACTCCCACCCATCCTCAGTCCTATCTAATGCCTTCAGGATTCTATTCTTTTCCCAGAAATCCACTCCAATCCCCTCCATCCTCCACCTGAATCTTCTCTAAGGCCCAGCTCAGCTCCCCAAGTCTCCCTGAAGCCTTCCCCTGACATTCTCAACCCCATCCACCTCAGCGCATTCTGAAACCCTATGATTAGTATTAAATCATATACAATACAGTGTGGAAAAGTGTATGATTGTTACCACCATTCAACTATATATATTGCTCACTAATTATCTGGGGATTTGGAGATTTAGGAGTCACCCCTGATCTCTCTGCTTCTTACCTTCTCTGAGCCTCAGTTTTCTCATCTGTAAAAAGGTAATATTAATAAGGGTTACCACACAGGGCTGCTCTAAGGATTAACTAGGAGAAAAGTGGAAGTAATTTAGGATCCTTTCTTTCTTGTTCTCCCCCTTTTTAATCCCAGCTAGATTAGAAATCCCTGGAGGGCAGAACCCACTGCACAGGGAGCCTGGTCCTGGGCTCCAGTCTTCGCTTCACCGCACTAGATCAGTAACGACAACCCGTGAGGCTGACTTAGTACCAACTCCTCACCTCTGATGAAACATCAGACACTGCCTCTCGGGCATGACACACTTCTCTTCACTGAGACTTCTCTGGCTATCAAACAGAGGCATTAATACCTAAGGCATTCCACAAAAGTGTGAGAACCTTGTAAAATGCCAAAATTTACCATCTTGCAGCAAACATTTATCAAGTGCTTACTGTGGGGCTGTTACATATGCAATGAGGGGTTAACAAAAGCTCTGACCCAGTGTTTACTCAGACACCAACTTGCCAGTAGTTTGTAATCAACCACCAAACAGGAGCTGCCCTGCAGGACTCTGGCCCCCTTTCCTGTCCTGAGAGAGGTGAATGGCACCCCCTGCTGTTGTGCATCCAGCCAAGCAAACACACGCTAGCCTGGGGTCCCTAACATCAGCATGGCCTGCTGGGAGTTCTGGAAACACCTGTTCTAGTGAATGCACAAGAGTATTTTTCTGGGAAGAGAATCCATAACTTTCATCAGAATACCAGGGACCAAAAACAGGAGACAAATGCTTATAATAAAATGTACAAAATGTCATGCCAAGGATCTGAATGAGAGAACACGGAAGGTCCCCTTGAGGGCACAGCCAGGCCCCTATCCTTGGGAATCATCTGCGAAGCCTTGCTCCCTGCCCACTCCACCTTCAGTCCATCAGCTCCTCATGAAAACTACTGGATATCCAATATCGGAGCGCTTCTCGCCTCCTGCGCCTACCGCCCCGCTTCAGGCCCCCTCCCTGGCCTCCTGCTCCTGCCCTCACCCCTGCAGTCTGCTCTCCCTGCTGCAGCCAAGGGCTCTTTGTGACAGGTAAGTTGGATCATGCTCTTCTACGTGCATCCCCGCGGTCCCTAGGCCCTGCACACTGGGCCTGCGCTAGTAGCTCTGAGCCACCTCCCACCATTCCACTCCAGCACCCTCAACACCCAGCACATTCCCACCTCAGGGCCCAGAGTCGCCATTCATTCCCTCTGCAGGGAGTGCTCCTCCTCCAGGTTCCTCAGCTCCTTCAAAGTTTGCCTCAGATTTTATCTTCTCAGGGAGGTCCTCCCTGGCCACCCCATTTAAAATCGCAAGCTGTGCACATACCCACCAACTCCCAGTCCCCCACTAACTTAATACCTATTTTATCTTATTTATTATGTCTTTCATTACTTAGGCTGTATGTCCCCTGCAGTAGAATGAGAAGTCCATGAAGTCAGGCACTGTGTCTGTGTTTAATCCCTGTGTACGCCAAGCACCTAGGCCAGTCCCTGGCACAAAGCGGGCACTCACTAAATGCTGACTGAATGAAATAAGTAAGGAGACATTTGAACTAAGATTTTAAAGTTGAAACGTT